AAATGGTTATTTTTCCCGCGCGTAATGCAAATACAGTATATACAAAATTTGCAAACTTCACAGGGCTATATTTTCCTCATTTTACAACAATTCACAACCAAACTTTGCATTTTTACTCATTTTTAAGATGCTCTTTCCAGCAATTGTGATGGATTTCGTTCTTCTTGTCTTGATCAAAATTTCGTCTATAGCTGGAATCATCCTTTGATTCTAACTCACGATTTCGAATAGAACATAGAATTTATACTGAAGAACTTCTGATGCAAGCATTGCATTTATCTTGTGTTTGTACTCTTTGTGTCAAAGCGAGAGTATGGACTATGGAATACAATTGTATTTCTAGTTTGATTAACATTTTTAAATCATTAAAATGCTTAATATAATTATGTTTTATGTCCAGTCAGACAAAATTAACACTGCTTATGTGCTGATTGCGCAGATCGTATAGTGGTCCTTTCAAGCTTTATGTGGCTTATAATTGGTCATTAATTTGCTTCGATTGTGAAACAAAGATTCGTTGGGATGCGCCTATCCCAGATACTGTCAGTGGTGGAAAAACTTGGAAAAGTTGGAAGCAAGCATTACCTTCTATATGATCATATATTTTGCTCAAAGTACCACGAGCCAATTTGAGAAGTGAAATTGCATTTGTATGGGGATGCCAGCAAGCATAGCATTTGTGCTGCCGTGTATGCAGTATTAGAACAATATTTGGGTGCTGTTCAAAAGTTGGTTGCCGACAAACCTCACCATACCTGGAGCTCGTAGCTGATCACATGGCCGTAAATCGGGCTTCAAACATGAGAAATTCATAACAGCGGTTAAAGATCGCAGAAGATATCCAGTGTTGGTTTGACAGCACAGTGACATCAATTTGTTGCAAATCGAGGAACGTAAGCAATTTGTGATTCGCTTACACATGGGGGGCTTTCATAGCTTGTGTAGCAGGTCCTATTAGGGGGAGGGCAAGGGTGGTCGCCCCTCCCATTTTTCCTCGCTCTCTCTCTCTCTTGCCTTCACCCCTCATCACTTTTCAGGACTTCGTTGATTGGACATGTTGTCTAGACTTTCCTTTGTAACAGAACAGTGAGTTAGAATGAGCTGTGATATTTCGATACTTTGTTTTTAAACCTGCACTGATAGAGCACCATTAAGATTATTATTCAAAGTAGTGCAGATTCCATCTTTATGAGTCATCACACAGTTATTGTTTTCAAACGCTCAACTGTCACTTGTATGGGTGCCAGGGTGTTAGCCAGGATTTCAAAAGTGGCCATCCAAAATAATTTTGTGGGCGTGGTCACATGTTTTGGGCGTGGCCGCAATTTTTTGTTGTTGTGGAATTGTGGTGTTCTATTCGTAGAACCTTTTTACTTTTATATGCACATTTCCGTTATTAGCTACGATGTACAGTATATGCTATAATGAAGAACGCAATACAGCAGTGTAGGCTTAATTATTTTTTATAAATCGCAGATATTTTCCCCCTGATTTTATGTGTTTGGCTTATTTTATAGCCATCGTTAGTATTTTCTCTTTACCGTAACTGCAACTCTAAAGCAGGTGGCGCTCGAGCGATAAAGCGACTACTGGTTTTTAAAACAGCGGTTTCAAATTGTTCTCCTTAATACTTCATACGAGAATCATCAACATGGTTACAGAAACTTGTCGCGTTTGTTGATACTTCAATTCAGCCATATGAAACATGTTTTCGACGGGAAAAAGTATGAAAACAAATACCATAAGTAAAGTAAACAGCAGATAACAACAATTCGAAGTATTCAAGAAATATTATACAAAGCTTGTAAATTGCTATTTAAAGAAAATATTCCCTTAGGCCGTCCATTAAAATTTAGCCGTCCGAATTCAAGATGGTCAGACGGCCGCCTGGCTAACAGCCTGATGGGTGCAGGGACCTAGCCAGGATCAGCAATCAACCTGTCCAAAAGTGCTAGGCCAATTAGCTCCCCCCCCCTCCCCAAAAACATTGCGTTTCCCTTGGAATAATTTTTGAAATCAGATCTTTATCTTCTAAAAACGTATTCTTAGCAGTCAAAAGAACATGCTGTGTAAACCTGTACTCAAAACTGAAGAGCAAACAGCATGGTTGACCTCACTAACATAATTGCTGAAGTTTTTGTTAAAATCAGCTTAATTTGAGGTGATCTACAGTCCGATCTGCGCATGTGCACAAATGAGCCCACTTTTTATGATACGAACAGTTTAACTATGTTTTGAGTTCTTGAAAAGCCTGATTGTTGTTTCTTGATCATTTATTATACTCTAGAAGCTTGAAAATATAAATAGTTGTCGAATAAAGCTCAATATTTTGGACACAAAAATGTAAACAAAGGCTTTGTTTACATACGGACTGTAGATCACCTTTAATTTTATACTAAATATTTTGCTAATACATACAGTACCGATCACTGCGATTCCTATCCCATGGGGATCCAGTCCCACGAATATTAAATTAAAATCCGGATTTAAAATAAAATGTTAACTGCAATAATAAAATCGACAAATGTTAGGAGATGTTTTGTGATTTAGCCAAAGCCAGATCAACAATATATAAACTTAAAACAAATATAAATAGCAGTAAATATCACAAGTGAAAAATATAAGGGAGCTTTAGAAATGTCACTCTCATAATTCAGAGTATAATACCTGTAGAAATGTGGACTTCGTTAGTAAGACTTACAGGCTGTTAGTATTTGTTAATATACTAGGTTTCTGAATATATATACATACCAGAAAGATATAAAATGTAGCTAGGTTTAGAATTTTTTCACACTTCCACAGAACAAAAACTTAGTTTAGATTTTTGTTTAATTTCTCCGCCACCTTTGACCATAACAACATCTTGTTTACCGGATAATATGAAACCGCATACTTTGACACTTTAGACTCTTTAGTCAGTTTACGAAGCATTTTGAGACTTTTTTATTTCAATGTGAACACACTAGGACAGAGCAGTGAAGTGTTTGGACAAAATGAATTGAATGAAAAGTTTGTGACCTTGTATTGCCTTTATATTAGCGTGTTTTTTTTCTCATTTTCGCATTGATGAAATCCAAAACAGCCATAGGAACACTTTCTTTTCTTTACGGTGCTACCGTCAACAGTGTCTGGGTTTGCTTAATAAAGCGTTGTAGAAACTTCCACGATCTCACTCTTGAAAGCTCAACACCTTTGCTTTCTAAAATTCATAATACTTCTGATGGCTTATAGCCTTCTTCCTTTAATAGTTTAATTTTAATATTCGTTCCTTGCTGTGGTGGTTTAACATTCCCATTTTGACACGCACAACAAACTGAATCAAAATGGCACATTTTGATCTGTCCCAAATTTCTACATATATTATTTTCTCCTAAGTGACGACTTTCCCATCCCACACAACGAAATTCTCGTCCTACGGGACGGGATTTCCGTCCCAAGGGACGGGAATCCTGTCCCACACGGGACTGTTAACTTTCCCGTGAACGGTACTGTAAGGGATTTGTAAGATGTAGGCCAAGACATACAGCGATGTGTAGGTACAGTAATTAGATTTGCTTGTGGATGCATGTGCAGTGATTGTTGAATCACACAACCGTCACACACATGTTTTCTGAATTTTACCGGACAAATTGCCAAAACTTTCAACTTTTTTGAAATAGCGATATTTATTGAAAATATCAATATATTGCAATGTTTGAAGACACACACAGAATCAGGGTAAGAGTCAGTTTTTGCAGCATGAAGCGAGGTATGAAGTGCCTTTAGACTTGTGTTTCTAATGATCAGAACAATTTGCAATATTATGTTTGGACTTTGAATTAAATACTTTGGTTTTATATACCAAAACTAAAGTTTATAGTATAAAAGTAAAAACTCACATATTAAGCTATTAAATGTATATGGATAATATATTTAGTTTTCACTGTTTTATCCTACCAACCAACCTTTTTTTCCCTTGGGACTGTTTCAAACATGATTTGAAAGCATCTAATTTATTCCATAATTCAAGAATCTTTTCTTCTTCCTTAGGAAAATGGTGTTGTTCTGCCATGTTGAAGTGACTCGTAGTTACAAGTTTTTTGGATAATGATGATAATGATCGTGTCAGCTGTGAAACTGGGAGCTTAAAATTGGAGAAATTCCGTAAATTTAAAACTATAAACATTGACTATACCAGCGAAACATCATTGCATCAGCTTTCTACAACAAATCAACAATTGAACCTAACACAACACGAACACGTGAAACACTGAATTACTGAAACCAATTGAAATTGTGAATATGTGCTTCCACATTTTGTACCGTCGATCGCGTCTACCCATGAACACTATTTTAAACACGTCTAATTTTAAGACCCGGACGACGGAGACATTGCAGATTTATCCTAGACAACGCATTCGCGCAGATTGTGGAGATGCTACAATGTTTGTCTATAGCATTTGACTCGTATTATGATTTATATCTGAGTTAATTAAGACTGGTCAAATGTTTTGCTGTTTGTCAGGTGATATTCAGCGTTAAATACGCAATTGACCGCAACCTAGTCTAGTTTTACATTACAGAAGACAAAATATGAAAATCTATTGAACATGCTATGAAACAATGGGTTTTGAATTGAGTGAAAAACAGTCAAAACAATGAAATTTCCCACAATTTTTGTCGTATGGGAGAATGAAGAACACGGAGAACAAAATGGTATCAGCATTCAGTAAGTGAACATAAATTAAAACATGACGATCCATACGCTCTGACAGGTTAATTAAATAAGGGAAACAATGAGTAAATTTAGGTCCAGTTATTTCACACGACTGAATTCAATATTAAATCGAGTGTAGGTTTGACTGCGAGAATTTTGCAACTGCTCTGACTTGGGGTTTTCAATATATTTTTGTTATCAAGGTCAATCACAAGATACTACAACTATTAACCCTCACCTATAGTCGCTAATATTTATATCTCACTGCATATATCAATATGTCAACCCCACAAATAATATATTTTATATCAAAAATGAATATTATTTTCATGTTAGTTTGAAAATTCAAAATAGAATAATATATTCTTATAAGTAATAGCATGGCTTGAGGGAGATTAGTGATTAAATGGCCCCGTAACCCGAGGCAGGTTTGCGGAATTCCCGAGGGCGAAGCCCG